GATTTGCGTACACGTTGTTGATTGTATCTCCAAGGTATCTCCGCTTCAGAAGAAGAGGGACGTGATTACTAACTAAATTATGACATGTACCATCGTCACCAAAAGTATCTGGGACACAAATAATGCATAATAATCTCCTGGACTAATTCTACTGTCATTCATTCCAATGCATTCAATTTATACTTTGACAAATATTTGACAATAAAATTCATATAATAGGACAAGAGCTAATGTGATGCTGTCCCAGTTACTTTTGGTGACGATGGTACCGACATAAATTCATGAAATGACAAAACGATGAACTGGAAAACGTTGTGATTCTTATTGTTGCTTTAATATTTCTATACGTTGAAAAAGTGTTTCGTAGTGATAGAGCGTTATCTGTGTGTATTTGTGGACTTTCACAGTGTTATGTTTAGTGTAGAGACTATTCTGTGTTGTTAAGTGTTGACTTTGTTGACAAGTTTCGAAAAGCCAACATAATTTTCTTCTTTCTTTGTAATAAACCATTATTGGTTAAATTTGAATCAAATTGTGTCTTTATTATGAAATAAATAAAAAGCAAATCTAAAAAAAAATAAGAAGCAAACTGCTCTACAAGCTGCTACAATGGGATGAGCTCATTTCATAGACAACAGATGGCGCCACAAATGGTTGTCCGACCCGTATAACGGGACTGTCCATTCTATACCCACTATAAACCTTATTCTATGCATCAATTCAATGCCGTCAATTTTGCTATCACTACCTCAATTTCCCTTATTTATCTATTCGATGCCCACAATACATAAATCATTACTCTCACTGCCGTAATTATTGCCGAAAATTTGTACACCAATGCCGATCGTGAAAAACCCCGAGGGGTGTATCACCCGAGGTTTCACCTTTCCAAAAATGTGTAGGTACACCACTGCCTAAGTTAGGCAATTTTTATTAACACTGCCTAGTCAATTCCAACATCATTGCCGTCAATTTCGACATCAATGCAGTCAATTCTGACATCAATGCCGTGTCAATTCTGACATCAATCCTGTGAATTCCAAAATCAATTGAATGCCGTCAATTCCGCGATCACTGCCTAATTTCTCTTATTTATCCGAGTATTTATCTATTCAATGCCCACAATTCCTAAATCATTACTCTCACTGCCGTAATTATTGCCCTAAATTTGTCCACCAATGCCGCTCGTGAAATACCCCTCGTAATAAACTATCAAACCTCGCACAGTCGTGACGAATCATTTAAAAAATATATTAATAATTTTCAAAAAGTGGGGGGCTAAGAATATCAAAAAGAAAAATTGTTTGATAAAAAAATAAATAAAAACTCAACTATCAAACGTTGATATCTCGGTTGATATTGAACTATCAAACCTCGCATAGTCGTGACGAATCATTTTTAAAAAAATAATAATAATTTTAAACAAAGTGGGGGACTGACAATAAATAAAATACACACAAAAAAGAATTGATGATAACTCTGGAAAAAATCGCTATCAAATGATCTATCAGAACTATCAATCACTATCAAACGATTATCAAACGAATCAGAGTGAAAAAAGTAAAAAAATTTAATTTGGGTGGGCTAATGGCCGTTTCCACCAATAGTACGGGATACGAGGCCTATTTCATCAAATCATTTTACACCGTCTTGCATTGTTATCATCAGTTAGATAACATGGTACTGAAACGCACTTGTGCAGGGAAATAGATAGGAGTGGGGGATTTCGCTGAAAAAAATGTTTCAGAAAATGTCATCATAAACGAGGAAAATATTTAATTATACACCGTCTTGCATTTATTTATTGAGTTAATTTGTACATAAACAAAATTGGATTAACACATGCAAGACATTTTCATGGGGGTTTTGGGGTTGTAATATAAGATGGAAATTGTCAATTTTTGAGAGGGGTGAAATATCATTTTACACCACTCCATTGTTGATTTATATCAAAGCTTGAATGTAGAATAGCCACTGGATACTGATACAAGACGTCCTGTAGAGGGATAACGGGCTGCAAGACGGATGTCAATGTGTTGTCTCATGAGGGAGTGAAAAATTATTTTACATCACTTCATGCTTATGTCCGCCGAAAGAATCTATGTTAAGAAATGGTATTACATCAGTCCAAGACGTTTTTTCTGGGAAAAAAGTTAAAAAATCCATTTTAATTTTTTCACTGAACTGTTGAGTTATTTACTGAACCGTTCAATGTTTATTCTTTTTTAAATCATACAGATGAAAAAGGACAGTTGACATAGCAGCTCAACAGGGGAGTCTGTTGAATACAGGAATTATAATTTTTGTTTACAATTTCAGACAGATCATTTGTTGTGTCATTTTCACATTTTTTTGCTGCTTTAAAATGAAATTCTTCAAATTTATTGCTTACAATGTTATGTGCACAAAACATGTTATGTGTCATGGGATATCCACCTCAAAGAGAACCTAAATAAGCCGTCAAAAATAAAACAATTTTCAATCTTTTTTTATTTGATGTCCGTAGAAACATTCATATATACATATTATTAGGAGAATTTCGCAAAATAGAATTATTCTACGTGGTGAAGAGCAAAACTATTTAAAATTAATGTGCATAATTTGTAATTTGAAGTAGTATTCACCTTTGTACCTGATAGATTGACCCTTGTCAAAATTAGTCAACTTCATCATCGTCTTGCAGTCCTTTCTTCCCATTTAGAATGTCTTGTATTTTTAAAAATGTTATCAATGTGTTCTATTTTTCCCATAAGTACCAGTGCAAGACGGTGTAAAATGATTTCTCCCTCCCTCATAAGACAACACATTGACCTCTGTCTTGCAGCCCATTATCCCCTCACAGTACGTCTTGCATCAGTATCCAATGGGTATTCTACATTCAAGCTTTAATCTAAATCAACAATTGAGTGGTGTGAAATGATATTTCACCCCTCTGAAAAATTGACAATTTCTATCTAATATTACAACCCCAAAACCCCCAGGAAAATGTCTTGCATAGGGTATTCTAATTTTGTTTGTGTACAAATTAACTTAATAAGTAAATGCAAGACGGTGTGAAATTGTATATTTTCCTGGATTATGACGACATTTTCTCAAACATTTTTATCAGCTAAATTCCCCACTCCCATATATTTCACTGCGCAAGTGCGTTTCAGCATCATGTTATCTAACTGATGATAACAATGCAAGACGGTGTAAAATGATTTGATGAAATAGGCCTCGTATCCCGTACTACAACGCAAATTTAAATTTACTTAACGTTAAGTGCCGCTTACATTATAATTTTTTTTCCACCAGTCTAACCTAGTCTCATTAAGATAAGCTTAACTAAGCCCAGAAATTTCTAGGCTTATTCTTCCCTTAACAAAGTGGCGATGATAAGCGCAATCCATTTGCACAATATGTTTTTGTTGACATAACAAACGTTGAAATTGAATTGGGATAAAATTAGAATTTTCTCAAATTTCTAATTTCTGGTGTAGTTCGCGTTTTTTTTTCTTCCAAAGCCTATTTTTTTCGGTCAGAGATACTCCGCGTTTTTTTTATTTTCGATTATGTTCTTATTTTTTGATGTTAATGATATTCCAGGTATTCTTTCGATGAACAAACTGATCGAAATCACTTGAGGTTTGTTTCAAACAATTGTCATCCGGTTTTACAATGGCTTCATTGGCCCTAACTGTTTTTTTGACGCCTCATAAACAAACCTTATGTGATTACAATCAGTTTGTTCAGATCGAAAGAATACCTGGATTATCAGCTCTTTTTCCTTCATTGTATAGTTTGGTGTCCTACCTTTTTTGGATAAATTCTCCCTGTTTGTTTCTATTCCCTGACTCCACGCTGCACTAGGCACCTTCGTGCTCCTTCACACACAATGCAGGATAAACTACCAATATCTAGACCTCTTCTCTGTGAAATAAACCGAACCCGGATAACAGCAACAAATATCTATTATTGATTATAATCTTAAAAAAATTAGCGGGAAGCATCGAATGACAGATAATAAAATTGACACGACTAGTGAAAAAACGAAAAGTACGCAAATCTTTCACCTGAAATGCAATGTTGCCAAAGCTTTACGACACTTAGCTAAGCTTGCACTTAAAAACTATGGTGGAACGAAATTATATTTGAGTATCCCTTAATTTTTAAGGGCTTAGCAAAGTTTGGTTATAGTTTGGTGGAAATGGCCATAAGTCTACAGAGGTCAATAATGGTGGTATAGTCCAACAAATACCATTTTAAAGTCACGTGATTTTTCTCTATCCTTGTTGAATACATCTCAAACCGCGGTGATAGTAAAATTGACAAAAAAATTGCTGTCTAATTATTGTTCATAATATTCTTACCTGAAATAGAATCCGTCACTGTCATCAATTAGTTTGTCGAAGTTATTTTCGAAAATAATACAACGAACAAACACAGCTAATAACTCTGACTATATTAACCTTTTTTCAACTCGAAAAGAAGCAAATAGAAAACGGGTACCCAGTTTAAGTTCAGAATGTATTACAACAGACAGCAGATGCGACAAAAGTGAGTCTCGCAACAATTGCAAGTATTAAAATTGCCCTCTGATTGGTCAATACTACTTCAGAAACGCGTTTGTAAAATGCTAGTGGGAACATATATTAAAATTCAATAGTAATTAACTACCAATAGCTTTTTGTAGGTGATATCAACGACATAATCAATGGACATACTTTTTTTGTCACCAGTATCACGTGACTTTAAAATGGTATTTGTCGAACTATACCTCAGTGGTCAAGGAACAAATATAATGGGTCAGAAATAAAGCAATGGCCCTCCGACGAGACTCTAGAGTCTAGCGAGACGCGGGGTCTCCCAACTAGCCAAATACATTCATAAAATAAAAATGCATTCAATAAAAAGGTACCAAAGTTACCTAGGTACTTCACTTGACTTTCGGTAGGTACCTGTAGGTGATAAGCTAAATTGAGAGCTAAACATAATATGGATATTTTTATTATACTTACAGTAACTAGCACCAAAACCAAGAGAAATACAGGCTACAAACCACAACAATAAAAATAGTTTGTGCATTTTGTTGCACAGTGATTATAAAACCAGCTTGTTTACTAATATTTTTGATTAACTAAGATAAATTTTATTGTCCTATCTTATCCCTAAATATATACTCATTGGAAGGCACATCATCGGACCAACAATATGTATCAAAAATGTTAATGCAAAAGTTTCTGCTATCAATGAAACATAATAATATTATTCTCTAGGATAACTTGATCAAAACAAAACATGTACGTTTTGTAAAATTAACCTTATAAACGGCAGCTGCATTCTGTAATCGTTTCAGCTGTCAAACGCTTTAAAGCACAATACTCGGAGTAGTTGGACGAGAAAACCTAGGCGAGAAAACACTGCACCTTGAAACCCAGGCTCTAAAACGAATTCTCCACTGTGTTAGTGGATCAACTATTCCACCATTTCACATCGGTCTTTGTCATTTTCCATTCAGTAAACAAAGATAACAAGCACATCAGACGATACACACAGTGAAATTAGATGGGTGTAGAGTTGCAGTAAGCGAGCCTCATAGTGCGAGGGCCAATGAACAGACTATTATTAATTTGAACTTAGAGAGGGCCAATTAAAGGTTTATATTTTACGCCTAGAATATTAAAATAAACATTTTTCACTTTAAATTATTTTGATGATTCCAAATAAACTATTGTAGCACTGTTACTATATCACTTTTAGCCTTCATGAATCTTCAAGCAATGAGTCACGTACTAAAAATAAAATCGATATTCCACTTCCTCGGTTCCTTATGAGATCTTTTAGGTCAACTAGTGGTCGGTAGAGGCAGCGCGGTCACAATATGGTGTCCTATGTAATCAATGAACATAGTATTGAGTATGTAGTTACTATCGCGAGTAAAATGTGCAAAATGAAGTTTTAGTGAATGAATAAAAAATTATTTCAAGATGGGTAAGGACCAGGAACTTCTAGAAGCAGCCAGAAAGGGAAACACAGCCGTCGTTGAGAAAATATTGGGCCAAAGAGCGAAAAGGAGTGGTCCCTTGGCAAGGTAATCAGCTGTCAACAATGAGTTTGATATATTATTTTTGTTTTTTAATCACCTATCAGGGCTCCCTTGACTGAAATTTTTCATTGGGATTGAAACTAGTTTTTATATTCTTCCTAAATTTTGCTTTTGGTTGGTTTCATTCATGACAATAAAACTGCCATACGCAAAACTGGGTTAGCTGATGGCTAAGGTTAAACTAATTATTTTCATTAATATTATTATTGTCATTTGAATCTCATTATAAATAGGAAATTTCAAAATTGTATGAAAAGTGCGACATCCTGTTACTCATCAGCAAAATAAACAGAGGCCTGTAGTATTCTGATGCAGACATTCCCATACAAACTACTGCACCAATTATTAGTTTCAATTGTTATCACTTTAATTATGCACATAATATTATTGTATGCCTTGTAGGTAATAAAAATACAGCTGACTTTGTCAGTGACCTTTATGAAGAGCTGCAAATAATAAAACAATGTATTTATAGTGAGATTTAAAGCTATACATTTTTTTAAATGTTGGTGGTCAATTTTTTATTAATTCTCAGATTTGCTCGCGCCAAAGCTCGAGCAATATACCTTGGTATACTCGAGGGCTTACTGAATCCAAGAATGAATCAAAGTACCCTAATTTAATAAAAGATTTTTTAAGTAAATTTCAATACCTAGGATATATTTCCACTATTTTAGTGGAAATAAACTAAGCGGCAGATGAAGTGGGACACCCGAAAAATGCCTAATTTTGACTTGCTATAACTTCGACATTTCTTTGCCGATCTTGGATTATCAGGCAGGGTTACAAAGCGCCATCTTTGGTCTATGCGTCAGTGTCGTCGTAAATTTTTTTAAAAAATTCCTTCTCGTTATACAGGGTGTGAATGTAAGGCGGCGAAAATTTTCCATTTTTTGGCGAAGAATATGAAAAAGATGGAGGGTCCAATAAAGTTCTTTCTAGTGGTGACTCGATCACTAGGTCAACACCTCGAGGCGTCTTTGCCATTTTTTCGATACATTGCGTTGCTATGGAAATATGGCCATTTTATGGTATTTCGTTTTACTCTTGAAATTAGGGAACGTCAGCCAGAAGCTCTAGACGATCTCGAGATGATTCTGGAGCTCTCGCAGTCAGTTACTATAGAGCTAATTAACTGAATAATTTGGAGTGTGCCAAGGCAGTGTCACGCAGTTATTCAGGCTAGAGGAGAACCAAAATGACACCATATCAGAGTTATTTATAACACCTTTTACACCCATATGCACCGTATGGACTTGGGAGTTTATTCTCGCTTAGTTCGAAAATTTGCATCTAACAGAGAAGTCGTAACCTGGTTTCAGTAACTAATCTGAATTGAGTCCTTATGGTGCATTTGGGGCGTTAAATTTTAATACTTGAAAATTTCAGATAAAATCGATTTTTTTTATTTTAATTTCATAAACCCCCTTTTGCACGCCACTGATGTTGACTATTTTATATACGTCATTCCATGATGCAATTTAAACGGAATCTGTTATTGTTCAATTAAAGAATCGCTCATTTCAAGAGAAAAACGAAATTCCATAAAATGGCCATATTATTATCTCCATAGCAACGCAATGTATCGAAAAAATGGCAAAGACATCTCGAGGCGTGGAGACCTAGTGATCGAGTCACCACTAGAAGAACTTTATTGGACCCTCCATCTTTTCCATATTCTTCACCAAAAAATGGAAATTTTTCGCCGCCTTACATTCACACCCTGTATAACGAGAAGGAATTTTTTAAAAAAATGTACGACGACACTGACGCATAGTCCAAAGATGGCGCTTTGTAACCCTGCCTGATAATCCAAGATCCCCAAAGAAATGTCGAAGTTATAGCAAGTCAAAATTGGGCAATTTTTTGGGTGTCCCACTTCATCTGCCGCTTATAGGTTACCCGTGATATTTGGATGAAATTTAAATATGTTATTGGGGATGCCGTAAGCAACATTTTTTACCATGGGCACAACCCTGTATATATGACAGGTGAGGCGTGGTTAGCTGTCAAATATTGGAATCTTATATCCAAAAGCAGAGTAACTATGGCAGATTTTGATGAACAAAACATCTATTTCTACTAAGTCGACCAAGTTGAGTCGAAAAATGTTACCATTTTGACACCTGCCAAAACTCTGTCAAACGGTAGCACTCTTCTTTTCCAGTTTTCAATATTTCATGATGTCATTTGACACTTTTAACTTGTATGTAAATTCTGAATTCAAAAATTGAAAAAAAAAATGACAGATCTGTCAAAACGTGTCATTTGTTTTAGTAGAAAAAAATACTCTAATCTGATTCTTTTTTGTTTCATGGTAGTTTATTGGTGATAAAATATTAAACAAAGTTCATGCATGTCACATTTTGACAACTGTCAGAATCTGTTTTTGCTTTTTGGTTCATATTGAGTTTGTTTGCTTAGTGAAGTTCTACAACTATAATGATAGAATAATACAATCATACAATAAAACTAAACCTTCACTAAGCAAACTAACTCAATATGAACCAAAAATCTATTAACAGATTCTGACAGTTGTCAAAATGTGACATGCATGAACTTTGTTTAATGTTTTATCACCGCTAAACTACCTTGAAACAAAAAAGAACCAGATTAGAGTATTTCTTTCTACTAAAACAAATGACAGGATTTGACAGTTCTGTCATTTTTTTTTTCAATTTTTGAATTCAGAATTTACATACAAGTTAAAAATGTCAAATGACATCATAAAATATTGAAAACGGGAAAAGATGAATGCTGCCGTTTGGCAGGGTTTTGACAGGTGTCAAAATGGTTGACATTTTTCGACTTAACTTGGTCGACTTAGTAGACATCGATACTTTGATCATCAAAATCTGCCATAGTCACTCTTCTTTTGGATATAAGATTCCAATATTTGACAGCTAACCACGCCTCACCTGTCATATATACAGGGTTGTGCCCATGGTAAAAAATGTTGCTTACGGCATCCCCAATAACATATTCAAATTTTATCCAAATATCACGGGTAACCAATTTCCATTTAAATATTGCGGGGTCCTTTACTTAAAAAATCTTTTATTAGATAATGGATTTCCACCAAGTAAAAGCCGATTCAATAAAAACGTACCCTAATTTGATTATCTTAATAATAGTATCAACTATCAGGTAAGTATAATATCGGGTCTTCAAAAAAAAAACCAATCAATGATTGCTATGGTTTTTTGAACATAGGTCTTAGCAATATTTTTCTTTAATTTTGACAATGTCAGTCAATGAAATTTAATGTCAAAATGTCATGTCAAAAATCCTGACCAATAAACAAACATTAATGCGACATACATACGTTTTCGTAACCAAAGCAATCTTTGATTGGTTTTTTTTTTGAAGACCCGATATGTATTCTGTGACTGAGGTATATTCTCCATTGCTTTCCTTTTTTCCATAAAGTAGGATTTATTCTCGAGTTTTGTTAATAGTGTGATTGAAAACAAATGTTGTGGTGTAAATCAACGTGCAACTCACTCTTCTTCCTATTTGACTTCTTCCAAAAATACTGGAAATATGCCATGTCAATAATGACAGCTTTTTCAAGCATTTTCACGGTTTTGGTGGTCATGAAACCATTTTGACGCTACGTTTCTACACCTCAAGCCATCTTGCCAAAATTGTTAAAGCATTGCCAGACCGAGGGGCGTACCACCTAGGAAATCACTGTACACTTTGCTTTAGAAATACTTAGTAATACAAGAAATACTTGGGTAATACCTAGTAATACTAGTAATAATCGGAAAATTTGGTAATAACTCAGGAAATACCTGGCAATACATCGGAAGTACTGGTTATACTTCAGAAATACTCAAGTGATAAGTTGGAAATATCTAGTAATACTGTGAGAGAGGGGTGAAAGAGTTACACTTGGCGTCGTTTATTGCCCGATCGTTTATTTTTAATGTGGCAACAAGACTTGTGTGAGGTTGTATAAGTGGTATAAGAAGATAAGCTTATGATTGAAACAAAGAATCAATGCCCTGTCCCTGCTTATTCAATAGGGCCAATGAATATGGCGAATGGCGGCCATGGTCAAACAGTGAAATTGGCGCCACCAGGATTTCATTCATCTCCAGACAAACGTGACGTTTTGTTATCACAAAATTGAAGGGAGGTAATTGATACCCCAATCAATATACAATCTGCGCAATATACTATATTATGTACTTACAGCGTGCGATAATATAGTACTTGCAGCCACGCAAAATCGTGTGGTATACTTTAGTTACCGCACGGTTGTAGTTAAATAATAACCTACCTATTACCTAAATTCTACTTCCTACTTGTCCACTGTCAAAGGTGACAGACAGTTAGAGACGCAATTTTATTTTGTATAATTCTTTGAACTTCTTTCGCATATTTTGTTACCGTACGGTGGTAGATACATTACTGTATATAATACGTATGGTAATGAGGTTATTACCACTCTTAGAGATTGTAAACATCAACTCAACGACTCGTTTCCCAAACTCTCTCGTGTACGGTAATAACCTAGTTACCACACTTATTATATAGGTACTTACCTAATATACTATTTTTTTCACTGACGTTTCATAATAGCGACTCTCCGAGTGTCATTTTCATAGGTCATTTTAGTTTTAAATTAAAATCTCTACTAGTACTTAGAAATGTCAGTCATTGTTCAGAATTAAAGATTCGAAATGATGTCAAATCTTGAAAAAATATCGCATAGAAGGTGTCAAGCAAAAGCATGTGACAAATATTTTAGGGTCTTAAATCGCATAGTATGCGTAAAGTAGACTTTGGTAAGTATTTATGATTAAAATTCCTTTCTTTTTCAGAAAATGGATTTTTGACCATTTATAAAATTAATCTAGTTTTATTAATTAATCCGATTCATTAATTAATTTTATTAATGCCTTTTTTGGAGATGTAGATGCTCATAGGTAAAATTTTGTACCTAAAGGCAGTTTTACAGCTTGCAAGAAAACTTG